TCCTATCTTTTGCCCCATCTCTCCAAGCCTCATAGTTCAAAGGAAAGCAGTGTCATCACATGTTGCAGTTGACTCAGCCAAGTGGCCTCAGGCCATGTCCACCTTGCCCATTAATCCTGCAACCAGAGGGTCTTGCTAATTGTGTCTGAAGTGCTTCTGGGCTTAGCAGTTCCTGCACAGAAGACTTTTTCTCAGCAAGGACTTGTAAATTCTCACACTGCTTTTATTAAATTCTGTCTCTGGAAAAAAAAGCCTGATGCAGTTGGAGAAGACTCTTCTCTCTGACCATCACAACATCTGCTTCCAGGCAGCAGAGTGGGGATCTGAGCAGGTGATGAGTTGTACTGACATCACCTTTGTGAGCCATATCCCATCTCTGGCTGTCTCCAATGCCTTAGCAAGACTTGCTCTACCATAGCAGTGTGGAGGAGGGCTGATGGAAAAGAGCCCCCAAAACTGGGGTTAAGTCTGTAAATAACAGCTAATTAAGTACTAGCAGTGCCTGTGTCATATAGTTGCAGCTCTATGGTCCTTCCTTGTGTAAAGCTAATTAAAATCAAGTGCCTTGTTACCTTGCCTGGAAATTCCAGGAAGTTCTTTCAGATCACAAAGCAGGTCACTATTGTTCTGTGCCTTTTTATTTGGGAAAAGAAAGGCAATGTGATTCCTTTCCCTGTGAGAAGTGGGAACCTGAACTGTAAATGCAGCCCAGACATAGGATTATATTTGGCACTATTTTCTGTTCTTCCAGTGAAGGTTTATTCTTGGATTTTTGCTTTTTCTGCTTCTGGATGGCAATATGAAAGTATTGTGCCAGGGAAATACTGATCTGTATTTAGAGCACTGCTCCTGGACCTGTTCACCAGCAAGTTTGAGGAGGCATCCACAGCCTGCACTGGAAGATTCCAGTTCATCATTTGGTGTGGCCTCTGGGAAATGCTTTGTGCTGTAATGAGCAATACAACATCTTAAACTTCCACTGAACAAGAATGTAAATTATTTGGATCCTGTTGTTTTCTGGAAAGCCTTTCTGATTTGTCCCACTTGGCAGTAAGAAGATGATGATTGTGATGTTGATCTTATGGTGACTTGATTTGCTTTCCAACTACCAGGTGGTTATATTAGAAGGTGCTGTTCTTTTTTTCTTTTATCAAATACCTGGAGCTGAAAGCAATTTGAGTTGCTTTGTAGTCTGTCCTCTGCAGATAAAATGAAAACTTTATCCCAGCTGTCTTTTCATTGCTTCTTTGCCATCTCTGTGTCTTCAGGAAAATAAGCCTTTTCCTTTCAAGGAATAACCAAGTGGACTAATTGGGCCTTATCAGGTACTGAGGTCATATCAATCTGTGTCAACTACTTGGTATATATCCACTCCCTGTATTACAGCTCCATTCCCTGGAGAGCAGATTGCATCCATGGCCTGCCTTAAGAAATTCCCATACCTGAAATCTAAGGGGAGTCATTATTGCCACCCTTGGCCCTGTGCTGTAGTTCCTGTCTGCCCAGTAACTGCTGGAGCTCCTCCTTTCCCTGCTCCCAGTGAGGTACCAAGCCTTCAAACCACTGGAGCAATTGAAAAGGTGCACTGTTGTTTGCTTTAGAATAGACGCAGTTTGGGATGGGGGGAATAAGGGCATCTCTCTGCTTTTCAGTGTCCTGCTGCTTCATGGGCCTTCAAAGCAGAGGAATGAAACTGAGCAGCATCTGTGTCACTTGTGTGCCCTTATTACACTGCACCAGTGACACCCCAGTGTTACACAGCCCTGTGGGAAGCCTTGCTTTAAAAACCCTTGTCCTTGAGCACTCTGGCCTTGTGTGAGCCCGGGATGTGATCCTTGGTGTGGCTGCTGAAAGAGAGGGCAGACACAGAACTGGGCAGCTCTGATTCTACTTGTGTGTTCCTGCACTGACTGGCTCTGGGTCTGCAGGCACAGCAAACTGCAGGCACAGGGGCTTGGGTGAAATCTTAAATTCTGAGCCTGATCTGCCCAATTGCATTTAATGAACCTTTGATGTCATTTAAGGTTGCTTACGCAGCTGTGTGCTCCTCTAGCCAACAAGAACTCTGGTCTGCTCAGTCAGGTAGTTGGTCTGTCCCAGCAGTTTTCTGCCTCTGGTGAAGGGCTGGTATCCAGTGAGCTGGGAAAATGTAGAGTTACACGAGGCTGTGAACTGAACTTTGTTCATATATGGGACAGGAAAGTTCCTTCCTGACCTCTTGAGATGATCAGTATATGCCTTGAAGCATGAGAGACTGATTGCCCTCATATGAGCTTGCATAACTACAGATGTTATTTGTTAAATAATTACATAGCCTCTTGAAGAGAGAAAACTCAGTTGCAGAATGTGACTCAGTGCCTTTTGTATCAGACTGTTCCAAGAAGTATAATAGTCTCTTAATTGAAGCCCTTATACCTTGATATTAAAATGCATTTCATTGGCATTGATATCAAAGAAATGTTAATGCTCTGACTTCTAATCTTTCTTGAGACCTAGCAAGTAAAATTTTAATGAAAATCACTGTGCATGACATTCTTGTATCTGTTTTTAAAAATCGAGGAAAAAAAAGCAATATATTTTAAAGGGTCCTCAAACACCATGTAGCTCTTGTGCTTAATACCAAAAACATTTTCTTGTTTCTAAGGCTCGTGCTATATTGATGTGTGACATTAATTTTCAATAAAATTTTGCATCTTGGTTTATCTTGAGACTTCTCTTTGGCTAGATGGCCTTTTAAACATCTGCTCATGTGATGGAATAGCTTAGTTGTAACTAGTGTGAGTACAGAGAAGAATGCTTTTGTTTGCTGTTTTACTCCCTTGAACTTGATGATGTTAATCTTGACTCTTACGAGTATGAATGAGATAAGCATGGAGTCCCTAAGCTATATGTTAAAGTATGCCTTTGTTTTCTAAAGTTTTGGGCTGGCTTGTGTTTGATTGCTTTTTGTTTTTCTTTTACCCCCAAGTATTTTGTAGTCTCCTAATTAGCTTTGCTGAGATCACTATTGGTGGTGGAGAGGGCAAAGGTAGGCCCACTGCTGACCTCAAACAATGCAACTCAGAGTCCTTTGGGAAGCCTTTGTTGATTTAATTTGGAATTTTGCTGTGTTCATTGACCTCCTCACTTGCAGATCATGCAGATTTTGCCTTAAGAGACTCTTCCAGGTGTGTGTTTATTTCAGCTGAAGCTTAAGATAAGTGCATGAACCCATGAAGTAAAATACTGATTGGTCCTAAATCCAGAAGCCTTTTGGGCTAAGGGTGGTGTCAGCTTAACTTGAATTTCATGGCTGGCCTCAACTTTCATAATTGGGGAATGAAAATGTCAGATCTGAATCTTTCTCTTCTCTCTGAAAAGTCAGGTCTGAACTTCATGGCTTGGTTTCACTTCCCCTTGGGAGCTGCTGCCATTGTTAATATTAATTTGTGAAGCTTCTTGTGCTTTCCACTTCCTTGAGTCTGTGAAGTTTGCTGGATCTTGTCCTGCATCTTCACTGCCAAAGGACAGTTCACACCCTTCTGTACCTCCTGTAATTGTGTAATTAGGTAACATTTCTTCAGGGCCTTAGATACTCTAGCCTGTTAGCATAGATGTTTTCTCCACCCAACACTGCAAGTCTTGAAAGTGCAGGAAGCTGGAGACAATGTAATTGTGTGGAACTTGACCTTGAATGCTGAAGGTTTTAATAAATTGTCTAGGAATAAGCCTTTTCTTTCCTTTTACACTTTGCTTATTTGGAGTAATAATTATTTTATTTGCATAGAAGAAAAGCCAGTTCCCAGGAATTGGTGTAACCAGTTATACCCAGATGGGAACAAGTTTCCCAGTGGGAACTAAGATGGGAATGTGCCCTTGGACACTCACCATGGGGTCAGTGTGATAGGAGTGCCAGGCTCTGTGGTGGGTGACCACAGAGCCTGGGTGACCTCTGCTCTGCAGGGTGACCACAGCTTGAGGGTACTCATGCCAGGGGAGCAGGCACATTTCCCAAACCTTTGCCCAGTCCTACAAATGCCCCTGATGTCAGAGGGAGAAAAACCTGTTCCCTTGTGGCATGGCAGTGCTATGCCAATTGTGCTGTTGGGCCAGCTTTAATGATAATTTTCTGCATGTCCCACATAGGACCCCACTGTAAATGGGATGCCACAGCCATAACTCGATCTGGGAGCTGGGCTGCCCTTCAGAAGCAGCCCAGTCTTGGCAGTCTGGATCACTGACATGGCAGGATTGCAGCTGGGACCCTCGGGCTGGGCAGCAGGGAGTCTGGCAAGCCTCTCTGGCCCACTCCATGAGTATGCTGGGTGGAGTTTGGGGCTGGATGGACTTGAGGGAGGCTAGTGCTCTTGTCAGGTGTTGGCAGGAACCCGATCCTCATTGCAAGCAGCCTGCAGGGTTTGGATACCAGGTTTGCATTAACACCAGCAAAAGCTGCCTGTTGGCATCCCAGGCAGCTCTGACCATCTCAGTAGTGGTCCCTGAAGTGCATGGAATCTGCCTTCAGCAAGGAGCCTCTGGCTGTTATAACTAGGAATTTTGGAAAAAACAAGGTGATAAGCAGACCCAATCTGAAAACTGTTTCTGCAGTCAGGTTTCAGGGGCATTTAGGATGGTTTGAGATGGTTTCCTCGGTTCTTGTTCCTATGAAAAAGTTTTTGACTACAAGGAGAGTTTAACTTAAAAATACTCTTCAAATCTTGGCACATGTTTGCTGGCATTCCATATATACTTTTCAACTGAAAAACTTGCATAGACACTTCTCCTTAAATAAAAAGTTTCAACCAAAAATTAAGTTTTCCTTTTTTTTTGGTATTTCACTTTTTTTAAAGTGCTGAGAATATCTGGGAAACCTTTTATTTCCTGTTGACTCATTCTCCAAGGATCTTTCACTGTGATGATCCTGTGGTATCAGTGATTTCCCTGGCCATGTAGCCCTTTGGGTGCACACTCTCAACAATCACCTGCTGTGATCCCTGTCCTAACATCTCCTTGCTTTGCAGGACCTCCATGCAGTCGCAGTCCTCCTATGGCTCCAGCTCTCCACCCCTCAGCAAGATGAACAGCATGAACAAGCTGCCCTCGGTCAGCCAGCTCATCAATCCCCAGCAGCGCAACGCCCTGACCCCAACCACCATCCCCGACAGCATGGGAACCAACAGTAAGAAACTCTTATTCCTCCTTCTCCTGGTGCCTGCGTGCTCTCTGCTAGTCTGGACAAGGAAACTTGGCATCTCCACATGGCTACTGTTAAGCTGGAGAGCCTGGAGTCATTTGCTGTAAACGTGCAGAGCCAAATAAATATTGCTCATTGGTGTGCCACAGGGCAAGGCTTCAGCATCCTGCTCAGAGCCTCACAGGGTGATCAGAGCTGCTTCTTGCTGCAGATCTAGCTGGCTGCACTGTCCTCTGGCTTTTGAGACTTGTTTCTTCTTCCTTTCCCAGCAGAGGAGATGCAAACATTGCAGCATTTTTTTCCCTCAGTTCAATTAAGACAGTTCTTAATTTTAAAGGAAACATCTCACAGTTCTGTTCCTCCTGGCTGCTGCTGTGTGCTCAGCAGCCCTGTAAATCCAGGATGACAGACATGGTTCTGGGGTTCTGGGGCGGAGTTTTGTTGGGGCTTTTTTGGTTGGTGTTTTGTTTTTTCATTTATTTCAAAACAGCTGGACTCTTGCCCACACCTGTTGCTGAGCCCCTTCTGGTGCTCTTGCTGTCTCTGAAAACAAAGCTGTTTGGCTGCTGTATTGGGTTACTCTGCTGGCTCTGTCCTGCTCCTCTCCTGTGGCAGGGCAAGCCAGGGTTTCTATCCAGCCTGTCTGGGAGGGAAGGTGACATGACAGTGGCACTTTCTCCTGTGAGGGGAGAGCTCCAGAAGGACTGTCTGTCAACTGGTCCTTAGCCCTGCCTGAAACTTCCCATGAGCTCATCCTGTGCAGGGTTTTCAGGGGATTTCAGGCTGCTTCAGCTGTGGGTGCTGTCCTTGGGTGCTGTGCTGGGGGCAAAGCCAGGGTCTGGGCGTGCCTGGGTAACAATGTGCTCCTCCTTCTTCTCTCCTCCAGTTCCCATGATGGGCACCCACATGGCCATGACCGGTGACATGAATGGCCTCAGCCCCACGCAGGCGCTGCCTCCTCCCCTCTCCATGCCTTCAACGTCCCACTGCACCCCCCCTCCTCCATACCCCTCAGACTGCAGCATCGTCAGGTGAGCGGGAGCAGGCTGCCCGGCACGCTGCCCACGCCAAGAGAGAGAGCCCTTGGGTCTGGAGCCTGAATGATCCTGGAGCACCGGATCCCACTGGGCTCTTGGCACCCTCTGGGCACCGAGCCTCAAATCCCCACCTCTGAGCAGTTGAGAGAAACAGGGATGTTAGGAGTGTGAGAAAGCTGAGGGATGCAGCATCTGTTGGACTGGTGGAGTTTGAGGATGCCAGGCTGTCTTGCAAACATTTCTTGTTTTTCTTTTTTCCCCCTCTGGCCCCTTGACAAGCCGTGGCTGGGGTCAGAAGCCCCTCTGCCCTTTGTGAGGTCAAACCAGTTGAAAGATGCTGCCCGTAAATGAGGAATCCTTTATACTTAGGGTAGAATGTGCTGATTGGCAGTGCATGATGTGTCTGAGCCCTAGACCCCATGCCTTGCTGAAGCCCTCTGTGCATGCACCAGGCTGCCGTGGGCTCAGCCACCTTCTGGGTGATGCCACCTGGCAGGAGGATCTGTGTGAGCCCTCCTGCCTCAAGACCCAGGCTATGCAGCACTGGCTCTTGACTTAGGCAAGATGCTGCCATGAGGGCTGTCTGCTGGGTGCTGAGCTGAAGGACTCCCTCATTTGTTTGATGTGGCAGCGATGTGGCTTGCTGGCCTGGGATATCTTGGAGGAGGTCAAGCCAAGGGTGAAAGCTTTGTTTCCTGTTGCTGCAGATTGGCTGAGTGTTTGGTTTTTCTGAGGTTTGGGCTGTTGCAGCCAGGGTGATCCTATTTTCTCTCTCCTTCCTTCCTTCCTCCTCTGCAGCTTCTTAGCGAGGTTGGGCTGCTCATCCTGTGTGGATTATTTCACGACCCAGGGGCTGACCACCATCTATCAGATTGAGCATTACTCCATGGATGTAAGTAACTCCTCGCCGTTTCCTTTGTTTGTGCTCTTGGCCCTGCTTTAGGAACAGGTCAGAAATCCAGACTCAGTATACTTTTATTTTTACACGATTAGTTTGATTTAAGGCTGTTGGACATATAGAAGAGATGTTGTGAGGTGAAGAGAGGCTGGACTTGGGGCCAGGACTATAACTGCCTTGCCTGGCACAGAGAAAGAGTCTCCCCTTCCCCAGCTCTGTCTGAGCCCCTGAAGTGGCCCCAGCCCACGTGCCTGTTAATTCTGCAAGGCTTGGTTTCAGTTTACACCTCACTCGCCTGCAGACAAGTAGGCTCTCCAGAAGTGGTCTGCAATTTTCCCTCCCTGCTTCTGTTTTCTGGCCTTACCTTAATCATCTTCCCTTGCCACTGGCATCTCATCCCTGTTTGTTGTTTTCACTTTTTTACTCTTGCATGGCTTTTGCTGCAGGGTTGCTGCTTCCTCTCCAGGGCCATTGCTCTCTTCTGAGCTGGCTGTCCCTTTTTTTTTCCCCAAGACTTTGGGAGACTGTGGTGCTGTTGCTCCCTAGCATGGGCTGCCTTCCTTTTGCTGCCGCTCTAATTAGAAAAGCTTACTCAAATTAACTGAAGTTGGTGGCTAATTTTTTCAGAGCTAATACTGTGTATCCCAGAGTTCAGGTAACGCAACCCTCATGTTTTGCACCAGAAATGATGGGGCCTCAAACTACAAGTTTTCTAAGGCTATGTGTCTGTTACTAAATTTGGTTCTGTTAATGTAATTAAGACGGTTCCTATAGAGTCATACCCAGAGCTCTGGATACTGGAGCTCAGGCTTGGATTCTAAAATCCTTTTGCCGGCTTTGTAATTAACATGGAAATTTTCAAGGTCATTGACCTTCAGGAGCCCAGCATCCCCCACCACTGACAGCCAGCAGATCTACCTGAGGTTGTCTTGGAGGCCTTGCAGTCCAGTTAAGCTTCTAGCTGTAGGTCACCATGTCTTATGCATGAACAAGTGTTTTGTGCAAGTTAAAAATGGAATTTGTGCCTACAAAGCAGGCTGTAGCTGCCTTGTGGCCGCACATGCCTGTTCCAGAGTGGACCACCACTTCCAGGAGCAGTGGTTTGTCTTCTGCTGCGCATCGTGGCCACCTGGGTTTTAGCAGCTTTAGTGGCACTTGGTGGCGCAGAGGCTGTGTTCGCTCCTGGAGCCCAGCTTGCCCTGGGACCCCCCTGCTAAGCTCTGCTCTTTGCCTTGCAGGATCTGGTGAGCCTCAAGATCCCGGAGCAGTTCCGCCATGCCATCTGGAAGGGCATCCTCGACCACCGGCAGCTCCATGACTTCTCCTCCCCTCCCCACCTGCTGCGCACCCCCAGCGGCGCCTCCACGGTGAGCGTGGGCTCGAGCGAGACGCGCGGGGAGCGCGTCATCGACGCCGTGCGCTTCACGCTGCGCCAGACCATCTCCTTCCCGCCCCGCGACGAGTGGAACGACTTCAACTTCGACATGGACGCCCGGCGCAACAAACAGCAACGCATCAAAGAGGAGGGGGAGTGAGACCCCCGGGCCCCCCTCCACCCCGCCCCGGCCACGAACTGCTCAGCCCTTCATTGCCTTCCTTCTGCTTGGTACTGCACCCCTGGACGGAGGGCGGAGGGAACCTTCTTGCTCTCTCTTGCTACGTCATGCCCTGGGTGCTGTTTAGGTCATGCTCCTGGACTGCAACCTCCACCCCAGCTCTTGCAAGGGGAAGAGCTGAGCAAAGGGGGAAGGTGGGTGGTATTTCCTTGACTACCGTTGACCTTCTCAAGAAGGCCAACTTGTTTTGTGTTTTCCTTTGGGGATAGGGCTTCTTTTCTTGACTTTTGAATCCTCACACACCTTGTGGGTGCCCTGACCTTGAAATATGTTTCTCTCACCCAGCTATCCCACTTTGTAAAGCAGGAAGGTTGAAATAAAATTATAAAAAGCCTAAAAAAAACCCCAAAACCCTGGGAAAAAAAAAAGGCATCCAAACATGCTACAGCAAGGAAACCAAATGCAAAAAACCCAAAGCAACCCAACCCTGAACTGACAGTTAATCTGAAAAATAAATGGGAGTTAGTCTGCTGAACGCTGCACTTAAACAGCCTCTTCCCATGGAGCTGAGTGCTCTGTTCATGTGTAATATTCTCCAGCGGAGACGGCACATGCACTTTGCTGGGCAGGCCAGCGCTGACAGCACCTACATCTGACTTTTGCCTTGTCCCTCACCTTCTCTGGAAAAACCACGCCGTCTGCTTCTCCTCGTTTTGGGTATACATTTATATGTATGTCCTGGTTTGCCTCTTTGAGGCTTGAAAGTGTAAATAAAACTACTGGTCACTCTTGAATTGTCCCCACTGGATTTTTAACCGTATACTGTAATCCTGTACATATAACCATATGCCACGATACTACTGACATTTAAGCTATAGAATTAGGCTTTGCCACACATGCAGCCTGCCTAGTTTAGCATAAGGATTTGCCCACCTAGCCTCCAGTTAAATGGAGGAGTGAGAGCTGCACACCAGTTTGTAGGACTTGAGCTGCGCTAAACTCAGACTACCTTTTATTTGGACCGTGCTAGATTACTTGGGAGGAAGGCAGGCTTGTCTTTAGATGTATCTGTAAAAGGGATGGAACTGGTTGTGTTTGTTGCTATAGGTTAAGTGACAAGCAACTAGAAGAATAACCATAAGATGTTTTAAAACAAAGATAATTTCTGGGAATTATGAGTGTTGTGATCACAATAAGCCATGTTTACATGAGAAATTCATTTTTCTCTGTTTTTTTCTTTACTGGTTCTACCACAGTAGTGCTCTGAGGCATTTCCTCTGACTGCCAGTGGTCCTGTGCATGAATAACTGAACAATGTGTGTTTTCACATTTTTATTAGCCAAAGTACTCATACTTAAAGGTATACAACCTAAGCTGAGGAGCAAGGCTCTGCACAGCTGCTTTCAAGTTGGCTTGTTCTTTTTTAACAGTAAGCCTGACTTTTTTTTTTTGGCTGGGGAAAAAAAAAGGGAAAAAGCAGCTTAAATGACTTGTTATCCTTCCTTACTACAGCTGAATATTCCTGACTCAATGCAGTGGCTGTTTGTGGGCCCTGCTTTGTTGTGTATTTCATGAGTATGATGTCATTAGGGTGCTCCGTCTGTTGTGCCAGAAGTGTATTGCATTCAAAGACTGCCTTTTGGTGGCTCTGCAAGCCTCTTTTGGTTAGATATAAATGGTAATGCGACATGGTTACACTGTCAAGTTTGTTATATAAATATTTTTTGTATGTGTATTTTTTGGTTTTCCTACAGTGCCTCATGATCTGTTTCATTTCTTCTTCAGCGACTGGGTCAGACAGAACCACAATTAAATGTTGTTGTTTGTTTTTCTGTTTTTTAATTATTATTTTTATGCGTAAGGTGTATAGTTACAAATCCTGTAACAAACAGCCAGTCAGTGGATTGAATATATTTGTATTTTTCATACTGAGATTACTGTGTTACTTTGCAGTTGAGGGGGGAGTGAGCACCTACTGAAAGCCTGTGGTATCATTTTATTTTGTAACACTTCAAAGAGCAGTGTCCTAGATTTCAAAGTATTTAACATGCTCAGTGTGAGAACTTACTATAGCTCTTTATTTTTTTCTATATGGTACAAAGCACGAGAGTCGTTCTGCTCTTGACTTGATGCAATGATTAATTCAGCAGGGCAGTGTTAGTGTGGGGAAAGAGTTAGAGCAGATACTTTACAAATCCCTGGAGGTGAATTAGGCTGTGCTCTTCTCACCTCCCAGGTTTTGCATCTCCATTGTGTAGTCCTTCTGAGCTGCTTCAGTATTGTACATACATTGATGCAAAAGACACTGTCATTTTAGGATCTAGGGAGCTTCTGACTATAAAGGTTAATGCAGTTAATGGTGTGCCCAGAATCGGTACAAGAATTCCGTATCTGCTTTTCAACTCAGCAGCGAGATGGAGCTTTTCTGCTGCATCACTAATGATTAAAATAGATGCTGTGAAAACCTTTCTACCGTATGCCACTATGGAGGCCACTTCTGTATAACTGGAATCCTTAAGTGAGTTTGAACTGCTGTAGCTTTTGCCCTCCCCTATAGAGGTGTGATTTTGTTTTGTTTTGATGCATCAAAGTGTTATGGCTTAATGGAGCTGAGAATCTGCCAATGCTTGTAGCAATGACCATGTTACCTGCACCAAGGGGCCCCTGTGTTTTTGAACACCTTGTTGTTGAAGTGAATGACAATAAAAGCCAGAACTGAAAATGACGCTGAATTCCTAAGCACCTTCTTTTCCTTCCTGTGCGCCTTCTTGGAAATATCCTCCTCTGACCAGCTGGGGCTTAGTGTCACCCTTGCCCATGGGTGAAATTTTCTGTCCCTACAGAATCTATGTCCTGAGGGTGTGGTCCAAAGTGCCATCACACATTCATCTGCTGCCTTTCTGACAGATGCATCAGGTCAGCTCCCTAAGCCTCTTTCTTGCTGAACTGTGAGGTCTTCAGCCTTTGGCATGGCTCTTTTTTGGCCTTTCATCAGATTTACGTGGTTTTTTTCTGAGCAGGGCACCAGTTAGTGCCCCACATTCCATGTCCTGCTGGAGGGGAAGGTGTGTGTGCTTGGAACAGACAGGGTCGGTGCTGTCCTCTGATGTCCACACCTGGGAAATAGCCTTACACGAAAGGCTTTGTGCATCACCCTATGCATCCTAGCAAAGCCGTTTCCTTCTCCTTTGCATCTCAATTTTTCTTCCAAGGATTTGAAGAAACAGGTCAGAGCTGATGGGATGGTTGTCCTGAAGGGGATGGGAGTGGAGTCCCTTCCATCAGCTGGGAGCTTCATTCTGTCCATGGACCACCACATTAACATCCCAGCTTCATCAGTGGTTTCTGACATGGGCCCCATGGCTGTCTTACAGTTTTTATGGGTTATGGTTAGGGGATGGTGCTTAGGAACAGGGAGAGTGGAAAGAAAACCTGTCAAAGGTCTTAAAAGAAGAGGCTGCCCCAACCTCACTTGGGAGCAGGTTTAATTGGGGTAGGGAATGCCTGCCCGATTTCTTTGGTTCTGGTTGCTGTTGCTTTTCTCTTTTTCCAAGTTACTAGAGAAGTAGTTGACTCCAGATATCAATATCCAGAGGTAACAGCACCCATGTTGTACTGTGGCAGAATGAATGAATGTGGTATTAAAAATTAGTATGTCGGTCTCAAAAGAGAGAAGTGCTACTTACTAGAACAGCTGTGAGAATTTGCTATTTCAGCTGATGCATGCTGCCTCTAGATGAGTGAATTGGATCACGTAGAACAAGATTTCAGTTTCCATTAACGAGTAGGTTTCAAATATGGTTGTCATTTCTGACTGCTGCGTTCTACTGCTGAAGTGGGGAACCTTTACATTGCTTAGGTTACAGCAAGGCTTTCAGTGCTGAGGAATCCCAAGCTGCTTCTCTCCCTTTTGCCCTCCACCCATACCCACTGGAATTTTGGATATTGGGATGCTTTGTAGGCAAGCACAAAGTTTTCAGGGCAAGGATCCATGGTGAGCTTCCACCTGTGTTTTGCAAGCCTGGGTGGACGTCTGAAGATAAGCATGCCCTTCTCTGCTGTTAGTCCTAAGTGTGCTGAAGCTGGCAGTCCCCTGGAATGAAGCTTTCCTGGACACAACAAAACTTGGCAAGTGCCTGAGTGGAGCCTGTGGAGGGTGTCTTGCTCATCATGTTCTTCCTGTCCTGTGTGCCTTAGCAAACCCCCTTCCTGATGGCACAGCAGCTGCCTGTGCCGTGGGGGAAGGATTGCAGGACCTGCCTCCCACTCTGCCTCTTCCCAAGTTGTTTCTCCATGGGAAAACCATGTAGGCAGCCCAGCCCTGCACGGAGTCAGAGCTTGGGCTGTTTGCCCTCCTGATTTACTGAGCTGTGGAATGTGTACCTCGTGTCATTTGCTGGGTGGGGGGTGGAGGGGAGCCATGGCAGGCCCTGCAGGGCTGCCCTGCCTGGCCCCTGTGGGCTGTGCCTGTGCTGAGCCTGTGCCATGGAGATTTGGCAAACAGCTCTCTCTGCCTGCCAGGCTCCAGCTGGTGGTTTCTGGGTCCTGAGTTGTTTTGCCTCTCTGTGACCCATGGCAGAGTTGTCTTCCTGAGCACATAGCAGAAGGTGGAGGCTGGAGTTTTGGAGCCTTATTGTTGATATTTGGATACACTAGCCATGAAGGTCAAATAAACAGGAAGGAAGATAATCTTTATGCTCTGTTGGCAAGGACTGGCTGTGGCTTTCTCCCAGCTTGCTTCCCTAAGATGAAGGAGCCAAAATTTTATTCAGAGGTATACAGTAGTTGTCCTTTGCCCTTCTGCTGGGTGAGTGTTGTTATGGACTTCCTTGGCTCAAAGTCGTCAAAGTTGTTTTTTTGGGGGAGGGTTTGGAGGATTAACTGGTTTTGTTAAAATGTTTTTACTTCCTTGCAAACACTCCTAGTCATATATTTTATTCTTAGGAACATCAGCTCTGCCTTCATGAAATAAGCCAGGT